AGATACGAGAACGGGGCTCCACAACCAGAAAAACTGACTTCACCTAGTCAACAGAAAGTAAAAGAGAAACTTCAACAGCAAGTCTTAAAAGTATGAACAATGAGAAATGATTCCAGCCAAAATGCCACAACACATCAATGTCTCGATAAATGCATTGACAAGACTTTGCTCATAAATAAACTCCAAAAAAAACTGGTTGTTGCCGAGATTATCATCATAAATGAAAAAACTTTCATTATAAAGAATAGATACAATACAGATGATTTTGAAAGAGAGAAAACCTTGGTATGAGCACAGAAACATGGCAGAAACAGAACCAGGCGAATCAGAAAACAACTTGCTCATATGTAAACCAAAAACCAACCTTTCCTTCCTTTGAGAAATGCTCCTCAAGGTCCCTTTCAGTGACCCTTGTAGATAATCCAGTCACATAGAGTGTGTTTCCAGGATTAGAAACTTCAGCCCTAAATAACTCATGGAGGAAAAAATCAGAGTAACCCAAAAGAAGCTGTTAACATAAAGAAGATGGAGTAAAGCTAAAAATCCACTCAACCTTCCTTGACTTTTGGACCTGGATCTTCCTCTTGGCCTTGACCATGATCTGGATCGGGATCTAGACCTTGATCGAGAGCGAGATCTTGACTTTTCTTCCCAAGGAGAAGGAGAGCGGGAATACCTGGGAAGTCCAGAAAATACAACATCGAGCCAGTTCAGTCCTAATCAGTTGAACCCACAAAAAAAAAAAATTGACAGCAACGACATGTGTCTTTAAGATGGTTCCTTGAGTAACGATGGCATCTTTTGCAAGCATATGTAGCTCATAAAACTTCCATGAAAATCACTACAAGTAAAGTTGATGCCTTAAAAGAAAATGTATTGGAGATTTTACTTGTGTACAAAAAAAGATAATAGAGATGCATTACTAAGACTGAATATATGTCTCCGGAAACATGCTTAGCAATTATACGTATAAAGATCGTCAAAAAATTATTCGTAACTGTTGATCCATAGATTGACTTTCTGTCGTGATCACACACAAACTCAAGAAAGACCTAGCCGAAAATCATTTTATTCAATATGTATGAGGACCTACGAAGACCATATAGTGAGACACTTCATTTGGAAATTTTTGCTTTAAGTTGAACCTTATTTGCCATTGCAAAAGAAATGTATAGGATGAATGACTTGCTACCACTATTCCCTGATAAATGATCACATTGTTGTTGTCTTTAATTTGATAAAAAAAGAGCTACATATACTTGCCTATTTTTTTAAAATTTGTCTATGTAGCTCATTAACACAGAAAAAGTGAGCTACATATGCTTAAATTAACAGAAAATTTGCCTTAACCAGCTAAAAGTTTGTCAACTTGAGACAACTTGGTAAGAAATAGACAAATTAGTCATATATACACATATGAGAGCATCTAAAATTAGTCATGTATTCACCCTTCACAAGGACAACAAACCAAAATGAAAAAAGAAATAATCTGAAAAAACAGATGAAAAACCCTAACGCAAAAAAATTGCAATTAACGAAAGTTAAGACGGAGTGGGAGCAAGGCGCTTCAACGAATATACAGCAAAAAAATAAAAAAGACAGATATGGAACTTAGCTAGAGAAACAGATTTGTACCTTTTGCGAGTAGAATCAGCCTGCAAGGAATCGTAAAGATCATAAATTTGTTGTTTCCACAATTAATTAGGAATTAAAAAAAGAGTTACTGAATGATGCAATTCATATAACACATATGTTCGCAGTAGAATGATGCTGGGAGACGAAAGAGGGAAAGAGAGCTTGCCATTTCTGGAGAAAGAACCGAACCCTAAATCCCCAAAATTGAGGAGAAAGGATTTTGCTGCTGAATCGACTTTCGAAGAACGATGAGCTAATACGAGGGGAAAAGAATTAATTTTGGGATTAAATTTGAGATGAATGTTCCATTCAAAAAAAATTATGGTCTAACTAATTTTGTAATTACAATAACAATATAGTCTAAACTCACTTAATGGGATCTGGGGATCTAGTGTGTACACAGACTAATTTTGTAATTAGTTATCTCGAAATTGTACTCATATTTTTTTATAATATAGGATAATTAATCTCAAAATATCTAATCATTAAATAATTAATAATTGGATAACTTGTTTCTAAAATAAACAAAGCACAAACTTCAAACCTAATTAACCGGAATTCTAGGTAGGGTGGTGCATAATTTGGTAAATATCAAATTATTGTGTCGAAATCTAAAATTTTAGTATTTGGTATTCGATATTATAGTATTCGGTATGATATTTTGTTTTAAGTTTTTAAAAAAAAATTGATATTAGGTATAGTATTTGGTATTTTATAATGAAATACTGAAATATTGATACCGTACCGAAATATATCTTATATTACACAATATACAAATTATTAGTTATAACATGAATATAAAAATCAAAAAATTTACTTTTCTTTATTTTCTAAGTTTATCAATTAACTCTAAGCAAGTAACAAAATATTTCTAATGATCAAATTTATTCCTTTATATACAGTTTTCTATCTTTTGATTGATTATTTTCTGGTTTTGGACAAAAATTTATCAACAAACATTTTTAGCTTTATACTTTTGAGTATTTTAATTAAGAATATCACAGTCTATGATTCTATACACTAGTTATTCAAATGGAATAAACCAAAGTTATCGGACCGAATAAATCGAATTCGATAGGAAAAAAATCGAATCATACCGGATTTAATTAGATACAGTATTGATATAGCATTTTAAGAAACTGAATATCAAAAATACCGAACCGAAATATCTAAGTATTATACTGTACCGACCGACGATCACCCCTAATTTCATGTGAAGGCATTAAATTACATTTACGCCCTCGATTTTGAAGATCACCATTACACCATGGCTGAATTATTAGTTGGCCTTTTGCAAAGACCAATAGAAGTCCATATCTAGTTGTTAGTGACCTTATGGGTCCACTAACTTATAAAGGAAAAGGAAGAATTTGTGCAATTTGAATAGAAGAAAATAATTTTTTTTCTTTTTTTTGTATATTTTCAGCTATTTTATGTGTAAAAATAAAACTTTCTTATAAAAAAGACATAAAAATAAAAATAAATTTGTAATGATCTACAAAATCATTTAACTGGGAGAATGGGTGCCTTATTGAAAATAACAAAAATAAAAAAGTAATTTTGCAAATATCAAAAGTAGATATATTTTTTTGGCTATCGTACATTCTTTTTTTTTTTTTTCTATTGCAAAATAACAAGAGAAGAATACTAAAATCAAACAACATATCCTACTGGAAATAGTGAAACTCGCATGGCTAGGCATCTCTTAGCCAAAAAACAATAGCTTAGTGAACTGAACAAGCAACAATTTCATACTTAATTTAGCCAAAACACCAAAAAAGTCTAACAAGCAATGATTTCATACCTAATTAGCAATAGAAACACACATTGCACGTTGATTGCTTCTTCTTCCTCGTTTTTACGTCGCTGCCCTTTTTTAGTATATTTCTAAAAGAATCTTTTTTAGTTATTTTTACTCTCTTGAGTTTGATCATTCAGTTCAACCATTTAATTATAGTAATTTTAGTTCCCGAATATCTTCTAGTTTGCAGAAGCAAGTGGATGAATCAATTTTCCATTTTTTTCGTTAAGTGTCAAAATTCCTTCAAAACTTGTGACACGTAAATGTATACTGGATATTTGTACTTGTAACTTAGAGCGATTCAAAATTGACTTTTTGGATGAATGTACATTTTATTTTCTGGTTTCACTGGGTAAAAATGGGAGATTGGAGTATTTCTGATTTTCTGGTATCTGGTGTAGTGGATCACTTAAGTGATGTTCAATTAATCGCTTATTAGTTATTACTAAGATCATTTTCTTATAAAATAGGAAATCCCGGTGAAATCATAGATCACTTACATGTTAGCTAGAAATCGCTCATTTATTAGTCATGTTCGCATAAGTGATCTCTGGTTGATCGCTTATTAGTTATTACCAGTATCACTTTTTTATAAAGTGAGAGATCTTGGTAAAATCACAAATCGCCTATAAGTTATTTAGAAATTGCTCGTGTATTATCTCTGACGCCTAACTGATATCTGGTTGATGGCTCATTAGTTATTATCAGTATTATTTTTATAAAGTAGGAGATTTTGGCAAATTCATAGATCGACTATTATGTTATTTGAAAACCGTCCATATATTATTTATGATCACCTAAGTGATCTCCAGTTGGTCGCTTCTTAGTTATTACCATGATTATTATTTTTATAGTGAGAGATCCCGGTGAAATCATAAATTGCATGTGATTTATTTATAAATCGCCCATGTATTATTTATGATCGACTAAGTGATCTCCGATTGATCGCTTATTGTTTTATAAATTGGGAGATCTTAGCGAAATGATAGATCGTCAATGTGTTATTTAGAAATTGCACATGCATTATTTATGATCGCCTAAGAGATCTTCGCGCTTATTAGTTATTACTAGGATTATTTTTTTATAAAGTGGGAGAAATCGCTCATGTATTGTTTATGATCGCTTAAGTGATCTTCAATTGATCGCTTATTAGTTATTACCAGAATTTATTTTCATAAAATGAGAGATCCTGATAAAATCATAAATCACCTATGTATAATCTAAAAATTGACTATGTATTATATATATGATCGTGTTACTGATACTTGATTGATCACTTATTAATTATTACCAGATTTTTTTTATAAAGTAGGAGAACCTGGTGAAATCCTAAATTGCATGTGTTATCTCAACCGTTTATGTATTATTTATAATCACTTAAGTTGATCTCATTAATTATTACCAGAATTTTTATATATATAAAATAAGAGATCCGCCTATGTGATCTCTAGTTGATCACTTATTAGTTCTTGTTGAATAGGAGTAGACACCCGGGGAAGGGGGAGTAAATCCACACTATCCCTCCCATTCGTCTAGACTAATTGTTCCATCAGATCCACAGATATTACATCAAAGACTGCAGCTACTCTTTTATTCAGCACAAATACAAATCAACAATCAAATAGCCAGAAATATTTCACACGCATCAAATCATTTCCATCTGTCTTCCAACCTGTATTGTACAACATAACAACATAGAAAAATGTACAAACAATGACAATCTAACATATCGCAGCTATATATCTTTACAGTGCCAAGAGACTCACAATTATGTTAAATCTTGAGATTATGTTGTCAAAACATCTGGGATAGTAGGGGCATGATTCCCCAGTATTTTACCCCCAACATCCGGGAAACATTCACATCCAGGCAATGGACCTACTTTTCCATCCGCATCGACTTGCATGGGATACTTCAGTAGATGTCCTTGCAATGGAGTAAAACTTTCAGCTGCGAATCTCTTCCAGTTATCTTCAGCAACCTCATTTACCCTCCTCACACATGTTAACGCCTCTGGTTCCTCAAAACATTCTTCTATCCTTCCAAGGTGCTCTGCCCACAGGGACATTCTGTATCCATAAATCTGGAGATCAAGAAAAGATGAGTACATAAATTAGCTGATTCTGCTCTGGTCAAAAAAATCGAGATTAATTTTAGGAAACAAAGTAATGCTTTTCTGTTTAACCTGTCCCCGTGGATGCCTTTGATTTTCTGCCCAAGTGTGATGAGGCTGGTAGGCACCCATAGCTATCTCTGTGTCCTTTGACCCAGCTAAAGAACGTTGATTTATGTTGGCAGAGCCCACAATAACATATTCATCATCCACTATCATTCCTTTGGCATGAACATATATCATGAATCGCTGAAACTTATATGAGTCTGAGACCTGGTTGCATGACAAAGATAAGATAACTTCTCAATACATTTATTCAAGCTTGATAAGATCCAGATACGCAAAATAAAACAAAAACAAGCAAACATAAAGAGGGAAAAGTGTTTCACACATTGAAGGAAATAAAAACAAGCATAAAAAGACAACAACATATGGATACAGAGCTAAGTTTAAGATACCAGTTCCCAAGTAGCATTTTGAATCTGAATAATACAACTGAATTTACTTTTGAAAGTTCTTTTATTATCTTTTCTAGAATTAGAATACTTTCAATTCATCCGGGCACATGATTCAACATATGGCACTTCGATAAGTTTCCTACACCGAAATAGAAGTCTTAAGTCAAAATGATTCATATGCCTACTTTACCAACTTGATGGAAGTGAACTTCATTTCATTTCCGGGTTTATGATTGGATTCGGTCCCTCACAACATAATTAGACTAAGGCTTTGATTACCGGCATTTCCTCATGGATCCAATTATTTGGTTAGGTTTTGGTCTGTGCCTAAAGAAACTCTATTCTATTCGTGAACGCTGAAGAAGTCATCTCACTCTCACTTCTACAAGTCAGTTTTACTCACTCATAAATGGTCTAGCAATCCATAGTACAGCATGCTACAACTATTGTAATCAAGCTGTTGAATAAATTATGTACCGAGTATAAAATTATGTCTGGAATGCACAGATGCAAGACATTGAGTCCATTCGGAAAGATCTTCCAATAATGCAAGATATTATGTGGCATAAGGCCGTAATTGAACAATCAGGAGGAACGCATAATAATGCTGGATTTTGATTTTAATACTACTAAGAGGGTAATATGCATATAGATACAATCAGTGAAAAGTTCACAGGGAACCAGGTCTAGCCAGAACCTAAGCATGTTAATTTATACTCCCTCTGTTTCAATTTATGTGAACCCATTTGACTGGGCACGGAGTTTAAGAAAAGAGAGACTTTTGAACTTGTGGTGTAAAATGATGCACATATATTTTGTGTGGCTATAAATCATTACATAAAGGTAAATTGTTTCCAAATAGGGAAAGGGGTCATTCTTTTTGGCACGGAATAGATTCACATAAATTGAAACGGAGGGAGTACTATTTAGTGATGCACAGAAAATAGATTTTCAGGGTGGAACATCAAAACCTCTAGAAAGTGTGAAATGGATATGATAATTGATGAATTTGTTCTAAGCGCATGAGAGACCAATATAGAGTTCGAGCAAACGTGAAAGAAACAGAGTTTAGGAAATTTGATACCCTTCAAAGTTTAGACGATAGATACAATTAATTCAGAAAGTCAAGTAGCTATTTTTTTAAGACTCTAGAAACCATATTCATCAATGTTAAAGGCAACCTTCACTTCAGTTGCTCTCATGTGTATTTTGTGCATATACATTTACAAGAAAATGTAAAGAAGAAAATTCCTTAAGTTATTACCTTATCACCATTACCAGAAGGTTGAGAGATAGAGCTTGGAATCTCTTCACGGTTACCAAGACAGTAGAAATTTAAATAGTCTAAAGGATGTGAGTCCAAGAGCTGCATCGACTTGAGCTCTGTTGCAATAACTTGATACATCATCTGTACTGTCTGGCTCTGTTGAAAGCATACAAAAATCTTTAAAAGTGCGTTTCTTTCTGTTCTTGTACACTTTTTCCAGATCACAAGTTTCTTCAAAAATCACAATCAAAATTGCACAGTACAATAATAACAGTGGGAGGCGTGAAGAAAACACGTCATGATAAGTCATGCATCCTTTATCAAATTCTCCCCTCGCTCATTCTATCAGGTCCTCAGACATAAATAATGCCATGAACATTCTTTCTCAATGTCATTTTCCTCAATTGCCCCTCCATGTCTAAGGAAAGAAATATACTACCCTAAAAGATAAGAATATCTGCTCTTTCAAACACTAAACAAAGAATATCTTTTTTGGATAGGCAAGATTGTAGATATTAGAAAAAGGTAGGTACTATTTATGCTAATGCGCACCCTATAACTAGTACATTCTGATTTTTGGATGGAATAACCCTTCTAGACAGCTGGCATCTCTATTCTGGAAGTCTCCTTGATGTAGCTGCATAATTGAGGCCATTATCACCTAATCATTGCCTATTTAAAACTATCTACATTCTTTTATAAAATCCAAAAGACAAAATCAAAGAGTTTCACGAAAAAATTACCTGCCAGAAGAGAATTTCCTGCATAGTGATTGACTTAGGATCGCCTTCGGGCCACATGGGCATGACAACATATACACAAAACCTTTCCCTCGCTCTAATTTTACTAGTGATTTTATGTGCCAATTCCATTGGTATCAGATGATCCGCTCCTGATCAAGTGGACAGCAAATGAAATCAGGAAGCAATGCAACAACTACAAGAATGTGCAGAAATGAGAACATCTCAAAAAGAAATACTAGGAAAACTATGTGGAAGCTACAAATTTTCTTTAAGGTTGCACATTCTCAAAACCATCATTTTTTTCAAGGAAGCTATATGATTTGGAATCCTACAAGTTCAAAGCAACTCTCTAATACTTGCAAATAAGGATGCATTCCAAGTGGCAAGATGGGTATTTCGATAATAATTTTTTGTACTGAACCAGATTCTGACGGTACTATCAAGTTTTACCTCTGAGTTTCAATGCATTAAGTTGCAATAGTTCATCAACTTTTCATGTGGATAAGAATATAGAGCCAAGCCAACATTCATATGGTGTTAAAGAGTGGAGTCTAGTATATTGCAATTCAGAAACATAGCAAGAAGATTAAAATTTGACCTGCATCTTTGTACGATTCCCAAGCATATGACGATCCAAGAAAATACTGATTTTCAATATATATGAAATGCTGAGCGGATCTTATCGCCTGAATATATGCTGCTTCAATGCTTTTATCTACTATCAAATTTTTTGAGCAGACAAGGTTCTGCAACATATATAACGCCAAAGAAAATGTGAACTGAGATGGGAAAAAAAGTTTTTCTGTCTAAAGTTCTTTACACATTGACATTACAGCTACTTTAGCAGAACTTTGGAAAAAGGAAAAGGCTGTGATTTCCTTGCCTGTGCCTGCGCGACATCAATTCTCTTGGGGAAACCCTGCACTGAACCAGAATCGATGGAGCGGAAGATCTGCAATATAAGAATGACGATGAGAGTCGAAAGGGATGTAACATATTCATGAAAGATATTCACAGTACAAAGAATATCTACCTGTGCATGCCAATTTTCTGAGTGACCTTCTCCATATACATGTAGTTTGGGATCATCCCCTGGAATTTCAGTACCCTCCCTTAAAACAGCAAAAGCAGGGCTTAGAATCCATGAGATACGCTCAATTTTTATCATAGCATCATCGTGCCAATGGGACATTGTTTTCTTAAACAACTTGAATTCCCTCCATTTTGTTGCTTTCCTCCATCGCTGAGCAAAGTTTATAAGCACATCATATACAGCAGGTCCGTCAATTCTGCAATGCAAATCATGCCATGGTTGCCTCGGAGCCTTGGTCCCTGGCTAATTCATGCAACCAAAAACAAAAAAGAAATATCAAAACAGAAAAAGAAACTATTGACTTTGAGTGCCATGCAGAAAAGAAATAATGACAAGAAAGAAATGTGTCACTGAAAAAGGACAGAGAACACATGTAAACACAGAGTGTTTATGACACATACAAGAATTATTCAAGGAAACATTGGGAACAAATACTACTCACAGGAAATGTAGGCTGATGAAAATCATCTTTAAATACAGTGTCAAGATCACGGAATAGGCGATGTTCGGGTGTATCATATCGACCATCGCAGAGATCAAGACCTCCTAAGAATGCTGTAACTTTCCTATTATTACCGGATGCCTGTGTATCTACCAGTACGCACTTCTGATGGTGCGTAAACATGGTTCCCACTACCTGGAAGCAATAGTAGAATGTTCAGGTCACATAATCATTTCATCAGAATATCTGTATATGGGAAATAATGGATCCAAAAGCTACAGAAGTTGGTTTAATTGATTTTAATTCATTAAAACATTGAAGGGTCTCTCAGAAGGAACATTTATGCAATCCAAACAAAATTTAGCTTCACACAGCCCATCAAAACCTCAATTTCTGCTGCTTTAGAAGAACTATATTTCTTTAGTCCACTCATTCAGGACAGTATTCTTGTCAAGCAACACAAGGCAAGCATTCATTTATTATGTTGTTCTGCTGAACCATTTCAGCTCTTCCTTGATCCCTATCTTTTTTCCGCAAACTTATAAGAATATTTTCTACCAATTCATCAGAACATTCTCCACCATATTGAATGCCTGATTCTGAATGCAAACTATTGAAATGACATGGTTCAAGAGGCAATAACTTCACAGGTGCATAAAGAAATCAGCAATCACAAGATGTCAGGGTACATTAAATAACAACGAGCAGGTGGTTATGAAAGTTAACCTGTTGCTTGATAATGCTGAGTTTACTGCTAGCATAACGTGGCGACAAAACACATATCACAGAGGAATGCTTAAAGAACTTCTTGGTCTCCTCATCGTGAGTTCCCATTACTCCCGCCTGCATCAAGTCCCATCTCAAACTATTGTGAGATTGACAAACAAGAACTACAACTATTGATGCACTCATTCGAAAGCTTGGAAGAAAAGACAATACAACATTATAATATACATTGAGCACACCATTAGAATAATAACATCAACTAGCAACACTAACACAATATTCTAATCTAACCACTACCTAAACAAATACTTAAAACAACAGCAAAGAAAATATCCAAAAAGTAACAGTTAAAAAGATGCATACCGTGTTAATAAAGAACTTATCATGGGAAGTTTTATCATCCCAAACTAATAACAGAACGCGCACCCCTTCTTGG